AAATAATATGATATGTGAAAATCGTGATCTGCCAACACTACTTAATGCCACAACTGCCACCTCCTTGTGCTAGTCTTTATTTAAGAGATTAAAGAGCATATAGTCTTTTGGTAATTCTGCAAATACCGTGCACATGTGTTTCAGTGAGACGGGTGCTGGAGATATAGAATCACATTTTGGAATAGGCAGATGATCAGGGGCAGTGCAGCTTGTTGAGCAGGATTTAGAAACCTGCAATCAGAGAGAGGTGACTTGATTCTGGCTGAGCCACATCTTACCTGGTGGCCCTTTTGCCACCTACTCAACCTACTTGAAGCTTAGTTTCTTTGTGTGGAAATGGACTGATAGAATCTTTCTCACCAATTTGCCGCAAGGATCCTGGTAAAAAGCACTGAACTTGGGGCTTGCTGTTTATTAAGAAAATGACTCTAAGTGGTTAACTATATTATTACAATGACCACTGTGTTATTTTTATAGTCCAGAAATGGTCTTGTTTTGGAAAATGGAGGCAGTTTTTCTAAATTGATTGGGAAATTTAAAAAGCATTACAAATTAGAGGCTGAATACACCATATTTCTTAGCATAGTGTGTGTAAGTTTACCAAATGGAGCCAGCTGTCACAGAAACAACCCAGGGTCGCTGTTGTTGTTGTTGTTTTTAAACTTCTGATGGCCAACTGGATGCTTAATCCAGTAGCTGGACAAGCTTCTCTATGTTGCATTGTTTACATATTTTTATTAGACACGGGTAGCGTTAGGAAACAAATATTTCAGCATGCACACATTCAGATCTGCTTTATACACAGCCAGCTAGTGATGAAATCCTAAATGGTTGTAAAGAAAAAACACACAAATAGCATGGTCAAAATCACAAGAGTGATATTCTTTTTCAATACTCATAATATTTATAAGTTTTCTCATTACAAAAGTCATACACATTTCCTGTGGGAAATATAAAATAGCAAAAAGAAGAAAATACAAAAATTTACTTCTGATCTCAATGCTCAGAGATAACAATTCTTTGTGTGCATGTGTGCACATAAAATGCTACTTTCCTTCAAGAAAATTTTCTTATTTTATTTAATAGTATATCAGGATAACTAAATGTTATTGTACTGGAGTAGAGGTCAGCAAACTTTTTCTGTGAAGGGCCAACTTGTAAGTAATTCAGGCTTTGTGGGTCATACAGTCTCTGTCGCAGTTACTGGACTCTGCCATTGCAGCACGAAAGCAGCCACAGACAACCTGCAAATGAATGGATGTGGTAGATTCTGCCCACCGAGGACTGGATTTCTTTCCTGGCCTGTAGTTTGCTGATTCCTGTACAAGAGCATCATCCATTGTTATAATGGTTTATTAAATATAATTATGTGTGTTATCAATAGTTATATTTTATTATAATAGTTATAAAGAGAAACTTCTGACTTTTTAATCTTCTATATTTTGGAGATGTTTTAAAGGATTGTCTTGTTAGCTCATATTTTGGGGAATTACATATAAATAAACAACCAGGCATGAAAGAAAAATGGTTTTCTGGAGTGTAAATAAAAAAACACAAGAACTCTGGCATTGCCCATAATTAAGTGTGTGCGTGTGTCTGCCGTTGTAATTTCCTAAATTCCTCATGTGGTCTTGAGAGCAGCATTTTCATGCAGTGTAGGAAAGTGCTGCCTGTTACTCCTGGCTAGGAAAGAGTCTTTCCCTTGTATTGCATGAAGAGTGTGAATCCAACCCTCTGCTGCAGCTGCTCCCAACATTCAGTCGCTTTCTCAAATAATAATGTCATTTGTTACTAGATTGTTCCAATGGGGGGAACATTTTTTGAATTGGTTCCTTTGTGTTTAATTCTGTTCAAGCACAGAGACATGGGTTATAGGTTGTGCTCCCCGGGAAGCTGACTTTAGGCCAAAATTAGCATTCAGGAGGTTTATTTGGTAGTGCTCTGGGGGTCAACACCTGTGGATGGGAGTGGGACAGAGGCAGGATGGGCTGTGTTGCAGTCTCAACAAAGGCCTCAGCTACTTCATGGGAAGCTTTAGAGCTGGGGTGGTGCTTCTGCATCGTCCTGAGTTTGAGAGAGGGGGCCTGGCCTTTGCACACTGGTGGTTATTGGCAAAGGCTGCCCCTGAAGGGCAAGGCAGCTCTCTTCAGTAGAGTCTTTTTTTCAAAGAGGGTCTACAGCCAAAAGTTGGCTTCTGGCAACACTCCCAGTAGCTAGGGGAGTAAGTCCTTCATTCCTAAGGGGTTTCTGGGTGGCATGGCATAGTATCTACCATCTTCTGGGTTAAGTCCAGATGAGAAACTTGCCCTAGTCGATGATCTATTCTTAGTTTGAGAAATCAATGTAGTGATGTTTTGGAGCAGTGTGAAATTTTCAGTCTAATTTAATTAAGCCATTCGGTTTAATCCTTTCATTCAGCCATCCGGTGACAAGACCTGCAAACCCTCTATGTGTAAGGCACAGTCAAATACATGTGAGTTAGATACAAAAATCAGGGGTCTGGCTCTTGGGGAGCTTATAGCCTTTTGGAGAGAATGTGGGAATATGAGTTACAAAGTGAAATGAATGGTGACAATATTGGGGATGATATGCGATCTTGGTCCTAAGAAACCATGGTTTACCCAACCTTCATGTATACAGAATTCTCATTTTATGTTTTTAAGTTGTTGCCCTTTGTAAATATATTAATAAATCGTATTAGTAATAATCATGGCTCAATTTCTGCTGCATAGAAGCCTGGGATCAGAAACAGAATTAGCTGCATGGCAAGACTTGGAGATTGGTGTCATGGCTGGGATTTGCTGTTACGAATAGACACATAGTTATCAGAAGTGCCTTGTGTCAGCTAATCCAGCTCTCAGCACCACAATCTATAACCTTCTGTAGGATGCCACATTTTTCCTCCCCTGATGATTGTATACAATTTACCAGAATATTATAATACATTGTACATAATATTCACAGGTCCTACTGAATAAAAGTACCGTATTAAAAATGTACTTCAGCCCAGAAATGGAATGCACCTTCAGCTCTTTTTCACCTATAAGTCGAAAATGAGGTCCCTGTTCAAGTTAAAAAGCCAAAATGGGACTTTATACTGTCACCTGGAGGATTGCAGACCAAGTTCAAGATTATGAAAAAATATGTGGAATTCAGATGAGGACAAATGAGATCTCATTCAGAATACAAAAAAAAATGCCAAAATAATTAATTCTGTGAGACATATAAGAAGGCATGTTCAACCATGTAGGATTTTGTATTTTCAGGAAATACTGAACATCAAATATGGTTTATCCCAATGAGGCAGTTTTGTACCAATGACCAATGGTTTCATTCACACATCCATTTATTTATTCATTTATTCATTCTTTTATTTAATACAGGGCTGGCGAGTTGCACATCTCCAGGCAGCACCATTTATGTCATTGTCTATGTGAATGGTGCCCCTGCAGATGGGCAGTGCTGAGCCTGCACAACTGTATTCATTGGCCCCAATTCAACAGTACTTACAGGGTGAAAATGCTCCAGGCACTGTGCTAGACTTTGAGAATAGAGCAGTTAGCAAGACAGACCTGGGTCTTGCCCTCATGGAGCTTTACTTTAGATGACAAAATAAGTAACTACAAAAACCAAATAAATATGAATTGAGATAAATGCTATGAAATATAGGAATAGGATAGTATACAGATCTCTCATGGGGGGCCTACTGTTCTGGAAATTCTGAAGAGGCAACATTGAAGCTGATGCCTGAAGAACAAGTATGTTTATGGACATGAAAATGGGACAGGGGAGGAAGTTTGAGGAAGAGAGAACATTAAGGAGACCGGGAAGGAGGATGAGACAGCCAAGAAATTGACGCAGGCCGTTGTTGCTGGGGTGCAGAAATGGAAGAGGAAAGAGATGAGGCTAGAAGGACACTCAGGGTACAGACTTTTCACGGCTTTGGAGAGTGTGTTGAGAATTTTGGTCTTTATCCTAAGAAAAATTCGGAAGGAGGATGAGACAGCCAAGAAATTGACGCAGGCCGTTGTTGCTGGGGTGCAGAAATGGGAGAGGAAAGAGATGAGGCTAGAAGGACACTCAGGGGACAGACTTTTCACGGCTTTGGAGAGTGTGTTGAGAATTTTGGTCTTTATCCTAAGAAAAATTGGGTAAGACATTGGATGTCCTATGCAGGAGAGTGACCTTTAGCAAGGTCACGCTTTCTGCATTATGGAAAAGGCATTTGACATGGACAAGAGTATACAAGGTTGGCAATGTGGGGGCTGTTTCAGTAGCACAAGTGAGAAGTGGTGGTGGCTTGCTCTAGGGTGATGCCAAAGAATATGGGAAGATTAAAGAGATTTTCAAATGGCATGTCTTGACCTAATCTCACTGAATTTGTTGGCCAGAACCTGTGAATTACTTTGACCTTTGAGTACTCTCAGGCAATATTAATTATCAACTATTGTGAGCAACTCTATGAAAAGCAGAATTATTTGATGTTAACATCAAAGACCACTACAATCAAGTGTTGGTTTTGCCTATTAATATGTCATGTAGCCAATAAAACAGTCATTGCTCTTTTATATATCCAAAGCCCATTTACCAACCTCAAACTTAATCCTTCTTTTGTCTTCCATAACATGCAGTACCTACCTCGATGGGATTGTAGTAAAGATTCAAAGAGATAATATATCTCTTTGCATGATGCCTGCTAGACCATAATTATTGTTAGCTACTTTGTACAACTGCTGTTATTCATACCTATACTATATTGGAGGTTTAGGAAGAGAATTAATTACATCCTTTTCCCTCTAAACTGGAAATCAAAATTTGACAAAATAGATATGGGAGTCAAACCAAGAGAGAGGAAAATATTGGCTTTCTTATCGATATTGCTGAATTCAAGAACATGGATTGGCTTTTCTGCCTGCCTCTGCCAAATCTTGTGATTGGTACACATAACTCAGGGAAACCTGTATATCTACACATCATAATTTCTCTCTTGCCTCCATCAGGGACAGAGAGAATGAGCAAGGCCTGGACCCTGACCCCACCCATGTGTGCTCACATCATGGAAGAACTGAGTAGAACACTCTCACTCTTCAGGTGAATCACAGAGCAGAGAAGTGGAGGGCAAGAGTCCTGGAGCTAGACTGCATGAGTAATCCTGGCTGTCCCATTTTTCGGCCAAGCAGTAATGTAAATCTCTCCTGTTTCTGTGACTCAGTCTTCTCATCTGTAAAATGGGAACGATAATGGAAATGATAATGCAGTTCTAAGGACTGAGGGAATGAAAATGTTTCTGGCACATAGAAACTCCAGTACATGTTTGTCATTATCAATATCTGAAAGAAAGAACCCAGAAAGCACTGCGCCACACATGCTTCTCCAATCCCACCTACCAGAGAGGTTACTCCTCTCCCCAGGAGAAGTGCAAATGAGAGGCTGAAAGAAAAGTATTGCTTCTGTGCTTCCCCTTCCTGGAGAGTGGGTGTCAAGCCCTCTCTCTACGCAGAGGAAAGGAATGGTTCACCTCCCACATGTTCCATCACTCGACACAGTCTGCCTCAAATGTGTCCCATCCCTACAGGTCCCTGTCTCCACATGGAGAGAAGGGGCTTTGTCATATTCATCAGTATATCCTTCCATTAACATACGGCCATGCTCTGTGCTGTGCATCCAGCTGGCACTCAAGCAATGCTTGATGGGTTTTAAGATCGGCATCTTTTTCTGAGACATTTGGTTCCTAACAGACTAAATAGCAGGAGGCTATTGCCTGGCAGTAATGTACATTCAGGCCTTGAACTTAAGTGTGGGGTCCCCTTTGTCTGCCCCTTTCTTCGGAACCTCTAGCTTTCTGGATCCAGATGTTCAGGATCATTGGAAACTGCAGGAAACTGGACACTAACAAAAACTTTCTTAGCACAGGGCAAACGCTTTATACATTTACCTTCCTCACGTGTGCCTTTTTCCTGATCTGGGCTTCTCTGTCCAAAGCAGAAACAAAGAATTGAGAGTTTATTACAAGATGAACATATTGATTTAGTGTTCCCTCATTTGTATGCTCATAAGTTAGGTTTAACTAAATGTACAACATAGAGGAAGGATTAAGTAAAATAGGGGATAGCAACTAGGCAGGATATCATGAAGCCAGTAAATAAAAAGATCAAATAGCAGCACAGAAAACATTCACAAAATAATATACGTTGAAAGTAAAGCACAGCACTGAACTATAGTAATACTATTATTTTAATATGGGAAATATGTTTCCTTCATTGTACTTGTTACTCTCTGAAAATATTTTTATTTCTTTGCTATTTATTATCTGCCTCCCCCAATTGCAATGTATGTTCAATGGGACTTTGACTATTTGGCAAACTATGGCCAGGTGGCCATGTCTGACCCATGGCCTATTTTTGTAAATAAAGTTTTATCGGAACACTTTTACACACATTTGTTTACATGTTGTCTGTGGCTGCTTTTGCTATATAGCAGCAGAGCTGAGTAGTTGTGTCTGAGACCTTGTGACCCTCAAAGACTAAACCTTTTGCTATCTGGCCCATTACTGAAAATGTTTGCTGATCCCTGGCCTAAACCATTGACTGACACATATTAGGTGCTTAATAAACACTCGTGGAATGAATGTATGAGGAATGAACAAATGAATTCATGTTTATAAAAAGTGGAAGAAAATGCAGATAAATCACAACTGTTAAAGGGACAGGACTATGCTTAGGTGCTTAATAAACACTCGTGGAATGAATGTATGAGGAATGAACAAATGAATTCACGTTTATAAAAAGTGGAAGAAAATGCAGATAAATCACAACTGTTAAAGGGACAGGACTATGCTTAGAATTGTTTTTCTAAAAATTCTGTTATACTTTGTTTTAAAAAAAGCAAATGCAAAATTTAAAAAGTGATACTACCACCTATGTAGGTCATCAAGAATATAATTTTGAAGGGTGGTGGTTTAAGAATTGCTGCAATTCTAGATTACTGAGTAGTTCGCTTATGTTTTTGTTTTTAGTTCAAAAGCATAGCCTCCTCATTACTAATTGTCCTTCTAATTGTGAGTTAACAGTGGGGAAAGCCAGCCCATGGGGATTACTTGAGGAGCTATTTTACAGAAGACTATGTGCATTGCTCTAACACGAATGGAATAGACCCAACTTGTGTAGTAATGTAAATAATATTTACCAAACTGGTCATTCATAAAAATTAAATTGATACAAGGTCCCAGGAGACTTGGTTATATTAGTCTCTATGCCAGACATAATATTAATCTGATAACTCACAGAGCTTCCAGGCCAGCTCCACTCTCCTTAGCTGAGCTCTTCTTACTTTAGCCTTCAAAATGAGCCTTCTTTGTTTAAAAAACAATCTATTAGTCAAGGAAAGAGCAATGAGCCTTCACATTTTTAAAAGATCAAAAAAAGAATAAATAAATAAATAAATAAAGATGGAAAAAAAAAAGAAAGTAGAAGAGACATTTTATTTGTTTTACACAAGGATGAGAATCAGTCTTGCTCTCTGGCTCCATACGTCTCCTTGCTCCTGTAGATCTGGTTGGCTCTTTAATACCTATCTGCTCATTTGCTTAACTGTAGCAACAGTAAGCACAAGCCAAAAAAGGAGAAGCAATCTATTCACCAATAGTTTGCATTTTTAAAAGACATTTTGCATACTCCATTTCACAAAGAAACAATGGTTGTGAAAAGCTCTGGGACATTAATTTTTCACAGACAAAATATTAATCTTTAATGCACATGGTCATAGGTTCAAAAAGTAATGTTAAGTTTGTGTATGTTGGCCAGAGTAATGCTATTCAAGACTTCTTCCTAGTTCCTTGTTGCAAAGGACTTTCACCCCACTGTGGTGTTTTCCTTTGCATTTCAAAGCCCTGGAATCAAATGCAATTGAAATTGCATGTTGGATTTTGGGGTTTAGGGGGTTGTGTATGTGAATTTACATACGTTTATGTCCTTAATGAACAGTGGTGGCATTTTTCTAAAGTAACTCAGCAACAGGGTGCAAATTATTTGACCTTTTTTTTTTTTTTTGCCAGAAAATGGTAAAAAAAAATCACAATGCTCCAGAAAGAGAATTGGCCACCTGAGTGACCTCATTAAATAAGGCTGTTCCATCCCTCCCAGAGCTCCCATTTGTAATCATTAAAATAGCTAGGTTAAGCAGCTATGATGAAGATGTAACTTACCTCTTATTTGGAAGAGAAAATCGAAACAATTCTGAAGCTCAGGATGATACAGCTCTTTGTAAAGTTTCATTTCATAACTGACCTTTCCTGAGTGGAGAGGTGAAATGTCTTGGACTGACCCAGACGAGGCAGCAGCCCCCACAAAATGGCACTGGTGTATACGAACACAGAGAAGGAAGAAGCCAAGTGGGACAGACTCAGAAGACACAAAAAGTCACACCCACGGAAATGAAACAGGAATGCCATTTGTGAATCTGCTTGATAAAGGACATATTTTCTTAGGCCAATAACATAACTTTCTACACAATTTCAAGGGTAGGAGAGCACTAAAGCCTCTTTTTTGCTCCATATTTAAAGCTTCAGGAAGTCCAGCAGCCGTGTACTGTGCTTTTATTAGGTTGAGTACATCCAGATGATTTTAATAAAGTTTTGAAAGGACATTAGTTTCCTGCTATTTCAATGAAAACCACTTGCAAGATGAATTTAAAGCAATAGATCTATTTCTTGTCAACACATCCCCTCTTTATGAAGATATACCATTCATATAAGAACCAACAAAACAACACACAAACATGATCATCAGCTGCTTGTGACATGGGAGAAAAATGTCATCATTGTAAATGTTTAAGAGTGAAGAGATGGTGAGTGTGCTGAATGCCACGGTATGCTACTCAGATTCCCCCTTCAGGACTTGTTCTTATTAATCCAGCTGCTGAGAGCTTGGAGCCTTGGTTGCTGGATGCCCTCTCTGAGAATTGTCCTGGGCCAAATAATGGCTTGTCCTAGGCCATGCCTGCTTTCTAGAAACAGCTCACAGTCCAGTGGCCAGTCAACATATGCATGTGGGGGGAGGTCAGGGAGAGGTGTAGAAAGACCTGCTCCCCTGACATTGGTGACGTGAGGGATCACCCCAGCTCCAGAGCTCCCCTTGGGAGCAACTGACATCTTTGTTATGACTGCATCACAGTTCAGCATCTCCTTCTGCCCAGTTTTACTTCCTGGAATCTCCCATAGAGTTTAATCTCAAGAGAATTCCTCCCTCCTCCTCCTCCACCACGCAAATCACCTCAGAGCCAATTTCCCAGGGAACCCAACCTAAGATGGTGAAGAACATTCCTTCCCCATTTCTCTCACATTAATTTTATTTTTAACTTTTTATTATGGAAATATGCAAACATACACAAAAGCCAAGAAAATAATATAACTTGTCAACCTTATCAACATCTTGCCATTCTGGTTTCATCAAGGGGTAGGCTTCTCAGCCTGAGGGAGGGTAGGCATTGTCTAGACAAATAAGAGAATGAGAGAGTAGGGGTAGGAACAGTGATCTGGGCGGAAGGAACTGGAATATAGGCCCAACTGCAAGAGAGATCAGAGAGAGTTTGGTACTTTGGGGAAGTGTGTGTGTGTGTGTGTGTGTGTGTGTTATGGGAAAGCAGAGGTCAAAGATGAAGTTTCTATCAAGAGTTAAGGCTGGAGATGTTGAGTGGTGACTGTGTACCCAAGAGCCTTGTAATAACCCACCTTAAGGCACTTAGCTTAAGAACAATGAGGAACCACCCAAGAGTTTTAAGAAAAAGAAAGATGTGATCCATTTTGCACTTTGAAAACATCACTCCAGAGACTGGGTGGAGAATGGCATGTTTGCAGGCTTGAGATGTGAGATTAAGGTTAGGCCAATCAATGTTACTATTACTGGAAATTGTACTCACGATTGATACTTTTTTTAAGCTGGGTCATGACCCCCTAGAGGGTCATGAAATCAATGTAATGGATCACAGACAGTATTTAAAAAAAAAAAAAAAAGAAGATGAAGGAAGAAAAAAAGAAGAGAAGGGAATGGAGAACGTTATCTCACACTGTACATATAAAGGTTTGGTTCATGAAACTCTTACGTAGATTATTGTGTGGAAGATGAAGGAAGAAAAAAAGAAGAGAAGGGGATAGAGAATGTTATCTCACACTGTACATATAAAGGTTTGGTTCATGAAACTCTTACGTAGATTATTGTGTGAGTTTGTGTGGTTGTGTGTGCATTTGTACAGTAACAATGCGAAATATATTTCTAACTATGTGTTGAGGTCAAAAAAGTTTGCCCAACGTGACTCCAGACCTCAGGAAGTCTTCTTACAGCTGCCTGCTACCAGTCACCGTGGGAACCAGCTGGTAGACTTCAACAAAGCCGCACAAATCCATCTCTCCCACTAAAAAATGGCTGAATCCTATTGCTGATACGTAAGAACCTAACTGACAAGTTCCAGTTAAAAGAAGGGCATGCCTCAGAAGGCCGAGAAACGGACTGCTTCAGAAAGCAGCATCAGTTTAATGTATTTCATTTTTGTCAGTGGCAGTTCTGGGACATCTCTGTGGTGCTAGATATTTGTGGTCTCCTCAGCTTCCTGTGGTTCAGTCCCTTTTTTGCTTTGCATTTACCAAGGGAGAGCCGGGACCCACCATCTGCACAGGGAACTTCAAAGATGTGTTTCAGTTTACATTCTGTTATAATGAAGTCAATGCAAATTGTTTTTATGTTGTTATTGTTTTTTGGTTTCTTAAGTTTTATTTTGCTTGTTTTTGGAAGTGGAATAATAAGGGGAGTGAATGAGTCTACTGGCCATGGTTTATAATAAGATGTTGGCCTGACTTTAAAAAAAAAAAAAAAGTCCAACAGATGTTAGTTTTGATTCATTGTTTGCTGTGGGAATCTACATTTTACTATTTTTCAAATTCACTTTGGATGCAGATTCATCTTAGGAGGGGAAAATTCTGACTTCCCATTTAGAAATATTCATTTTGACAATGGCAACTTGCCATACTCTTCTCTTTTTTTTTTTCTTACTTTTTCAGAATAGTACAAGCACTTCCTTGAACTTGAGGCTGACCTGAACTTTATTTAATACTCCTCCAAAGGTCAACCGAAAGGCACTATTTCTCATGAGGAGAAAGCTTTCAACCAGAGTTTAGAGTGAACCAGAAGGAGTATCAGAGTGGGCTTAATCTAATTCCTACTAATTTTACAGATGAGGCAGTCACGCTTCAGAGAAGTCACATGACTTGTCCAAGGTCATGAGCTCGCAGGTGGCAGAGCTG